ATAATTTTATTACTTTCACTATATTTGCACCCCTAGTTTTTCACACAAACAACAATTTACCCCTCCACTTACAGCCTACTGCAATTTGCACTTCAACTTCCACCCTCAGATTTGCAACACTGGTTGCCAAACATAGTAACTAGCTAGCACTGTAGAATCCATTATTTGGTTGTGATGGATTCTTGTACAAGTGGTTTTCAGAGTCAATTCATTGAATGAGGAATCACAAGACCAGAATTATGAATACATCCGATCAACGAAATTTCACCATTGGTGACATATCATCGGAATTAAGTTGATTAAATGATATATTGTCAGGCGCGAGCCCACACCATTTTTTACTAATTAAATTTTAAATATGTATCTGTACCGAATTCAAAAACAGAAATCCAAAATGTTCCCGGGTTTAGAGTGCAATTCGTTGGTAGGCAAGGAAGCCCATTTGGTGGCAAGGAAGGCTCTAGTATTGTCAACTAGTGTTGTGCTAGGTTTTGATTTTGCGCTTGGCTCCGTTCGAAATTGTAAACGTTTGATCTATTTTTCTCTTGGTAATGCAAGCTATCTTAGGTTTAAAAAAAAGCAGTAATCCAAATTGGATGAACTCGAAGCCGGCGACAAGAGGTACATAGAACTCAAAAGGTAGCTGCAGCGGCCGGCCGGTGACCGCACATGCAATCGGAGAACGTGAGGATGTACGTACGTACTTAGTTACTGCCTAAGCGATTCTCCTTCAACATATGTATAATCTTTCTTATACACGGGCTGAGCGGAGTTTTGTTTTTGTTTATCTCGACTTGCCTATACGTTAATTTGGATCTTGGCAAATCTGCACCTATTCTATGTTTGGTGGTTTGCCAAAGACAAGTTCTCGACTTGTTTCTTGGTGGTGTGTGGTGCCTGCAGTCTCTCTATCTCTCCAATATCTCTTATACTCACGTGTGTGTATATATATATATATATATATATATATATGAGTATATGGGAGTTCTACGGTACCCAGGATGAAATTCGGGGTACCGCATACTTTGAGTAAGAAGACACTATTCAAAACTTGAATTTACTAATCTTTCGAACATAATACTATACTATATAACCCTTAAAGATCAAAATCTGGGTCTTAATTCTCTAAATCTTATACCCCAAGATCAATTTAATTGGAAACAATAATCGACGATTATGATTCGTCCAAATAGAGGGAAAAAATCAATGCACCATCTTAGGGTTTATAGTTTATGATTTAGATAATTAGGACCTAGGAATCACTCATTAAGGGTTAGGGTATAGTATGATGCCCAAAAATCCTGCTAATTCGAGGTCTAAATAGCGTTTTCATACTCAAGGTATGCGGTACCCCGGATTTCACCCGGGGTACCGTAGAAGGCACCGTATATATATATATATAGGTCAGACTCGTGTGTTCCTGGACCATATTATGCTCCATGTACGTATAGTGAGATATCTCTATCGAGACCATGAATTAAACCGAGTTTGGGGTATGAAACTATACCCTAACCTCAAAAGGATAAACCCCAGGCCTCGATTTCCAAATCCCAAACCCAAAGTTTAAGAGAAAAGATGAGTTCACCGTTGAGATTGGTCGGAGCTAATCCATGTAAATCTAACGGTCAGATCATCTGGAGCATACTATGCTCCTAGAGCATACCAGTCGTCTCCATATATATATATATATATGGATGACCAGATAAGATTGTATGGTTGGGTGCATTTGGATTCGGATATGTACCATTGTCATTTTTTCTATGCTGATATTGTCAAGAACTAGTTGGTCCCAATGACTCGAGTTGTTGGGAGAAGTTCAATCGTGGATAATATGTCATTTACTAACACACCCCCTCAAACGAAAGGCACTATATATAGGCTTGAAGTTTGCACATGTCCGGATAGCATGTTCTCAACTGAACATATGGGGATCATTGGAATTCGAACAGGTGCCTTTCAGTCACAGAAGGCTTTGATACCATAACGAGAGTAAGTTGATCCCAATAAATCGAGTTGTTAGTAGAAGTTCAATTGTGGCATATACCATTTATTAACATACTCCATCAAACAAAAGCCCCTCATATATGCTTGAAGTTTGCATAAGTCCGAATACCATGTGCTTAACATAACAGAAGCTTCTGGAGGGTATGGTGGCTTAGGGAGAATGAAGCTTCTGGGAAGTCTCTAGGGATCAGTGACCTCGACAAATCCTTTGTTAGAGGTGAACTACAATAGTTGTCGTTAAACTGGTCAGGTAAGAGACAAGGTTTTGGTTAATTCAATTCCATCTGATTCTCCTCCTCCTCTTCTCTTCCGTCTCCTCATGTCGATCCATTCGATTTTTCCTTATCTTCTTCTCGGTTCCGATTCCGATTCCGAATCCAACTTCTCCTCTTCTCTCTATTTTCTTCTTTTGAGGTTTTGCTACTCCAGTCTCCAGAGGATCCACGATTTTGAAGCAAGCAAAGAGTTCGTCTGCTGCGTTCGATAATTCCTCCCTCCCTGTCGATTCTCAGAAGGTAACTTCAGATCTCTAGTTTATTTCTGATTTCTCTCTAAGCTGAACTAATTTGAAATCTGGTTGGAATCCTATTTTCACTTTTGAGTTGAGTCAAATTTCGATCAGCCTCCGATTTGTTGTTTTCCATATTGTATCAGAATACCGCGTTCAAGAGGTACTTTGAATCTCCATTGGATTTGAATTTATCTCGGGTGGGTCGGCATACCTTGATTTTGGATTTGAACGAGTTTTGAACCTGTATACGATTTAGTCAATGTATTGCGGATTTACTTGTTTGAGATTGGAGAAGTGAAAGTGAACTTGGATTCAATTTATTCACAATGCATTTCTCTGGAGAGTACAATGTTTAGACTTCTTTGTTAAGAGGCATTCTTCTGGTCATTAATTTATTGCCATTCTCTCAACAACACTACTTTGAAAGGAGGAATTTTACAATGCTATATAGCATTGGTGCTATAGGTCTTTACCTTTATGGTACAACTTGAAATTGTACCTTTAATGTTATGGTACAATTTCAGATTGTACCTATACTTTTTGTAAAAATTCTTTTATGGTACAATTTAAACTTGTACCTTATGTGATAGTACAACTTCAAGTTGTAAAGTTATACCATAACATAATGATACAAATTCCTTTATGGTACAACCTAAACTTGTACATTTAATGTTATGGTACAACTTCAAGTTGTACTTTGAAAGAGTTTTAAGTTGTGGTTATGTAAATCTCTTCATAATTTTCTGTGCTATAGAAACAGGAGAATGAGCAACCCATACAAACTCACATAAAAGACGCAATGCATTCAATTATATAGATCTAGAAGCAAATGCAAACGTGGAATGAGTTTGGTATTGAACTAATGATTATTATAACCTTTGTCTCCTTGAGACATGCTATTCCTAGGCTATTAATCATGGTGTCAACCAATCCTATGTTGTTTATCACCTGCTGACTTCAAGCTTCTGGTAGACAACATATTTTCTGTGTATAAAGCTATTTTGTAAACTGGAACTGCAGGGTAGAGAAAAGCAAAGGGTTTCTGGAATTAAGATCCCTCTGTTACTTATTATGTTTTTGGAACTTTGGCTTCCATTTAATGTTTCTCTTGTTGCTCATCTAGCCAGTAGTAATTGTACTTTCTGTGTTCTGAACCATCACTCGAGCAGCCAATGGTAGTTCTGTGGATGGGCATTTTAGACCCCAGTTCTTTTCCTAGATGGGATCCTTATAGAGGTCACAGTAGATTCTCTTCCAACAAACTGTTTGCTGATAGATTTTTTTTCTTCCGTATATATGTAATCAAGTTTAGCTGGCTGGTTGTCCACATTCTGCAAACCTCCATTATCTTTAGCTTCATTAATGATTCTTGTTTTTTTTTTTTTTTTTTTGGTTAGCTTAGTAAGCAAAACCCTCTACTGAAATGGTTTTTTTTTCTTCCAGTGTGAGCAAACCCTTCTGCGATACAAGCAGTGCAACTACAACAACAACAATCAAGGGGGCAACCCCTCTTCTGACTCCGGAACACCCTTACAGGTTTCCCCTTCTTCTTCTTCTTCTTCTTCCTTTCAGACGAATTCAAGGAGACGGTTCCGTTGGGATGTTTTGGTGAACTTTGAGCTGGTAATCGGGGCAAAACTTATGCGTAGAGGTTGCCAAGTTGAACAAGATATGTGAATCACTGCAACGTTCTCACAGGTATATATATATGTGTCCAGTCTCCGTTACTTTCTGATCTACAGATGCATACATATACTTGCTGATGTATTGTTGGTAGGGATGACAACCAAACCCGAACCCACGGGTACCCACCCGACCCAACCCGGTCAACGCGGGTAAAATCCGTGTTGACGGGTTTTGGACCGGGTTTGGGTTTAAACCCGTTCACTATTCATCGGGTTGGGTTGGGTTTAGGTTTACGTAAACCCGCCCCATGGGTACTCGTCCACACCCATATAATTAATTTTCTTGGTATATTTAATATTCTAAACAACTAATTTATTTATGTTTGTGGAGACATGTCTAATTTTTTCTTTTCTAATTGTGTAGAATGAAGTTGATGTTTTCGAGTAGAGAGTGAAGAAACTTGATTGAAAAGAAGAAGCTTTCAATTAATCATGTTATTTATGGATAATTTATCATTTGCTTCAATTTTCTTGAGTTTTCTAGATTGATTTTGAACAATTTGTATAGTTAATTTGTGATTTGCTTGAATTTTCTAGAATGGTGTTTTATATATGGATAATTTGTATTGAGAGATTGATATTTGACTTTAATTTTGATAGGTACTTATTATTGTAAATTTTTTACGACAAAAACTCGTGGGTACCCATGAACCAGCGGATACCCAACGGGTTGGGTTGGGTTTGAGTTTTTCAAACCCAATAGATTTTATCCCTGGTTTTTTCCGCAGATAAACCCATGGGTTTGGGTTTGGGTTTGGGTTTGGCAAAACCCGACCCATTGCCATCCCTGATTGTTTGTTATGTTGCATGGAGGCATTTCCAAGGAGAAGATATTGGAACTCTGGGGGGTGAAAGAGTTGCTCAAGATCGAGAGGAAGCTTGAAAGGGCTCTCTCCCGTGCTAGGCAAAAAAAGGTAATCACGAAAAGGGGGGAAGTAGCTAGTATTAGAGAATTCATATTCATATACATATATATGCTTAAATTCGAGACACTGATGAACTTTGTTAACGTTCCTATTGTGCAGACGGCAGACGCAAGTGTTGTTGCAAAGGCTGGAAGAACTGCGGAAAATGGTAAAAGGCTTAGTTTTAATCCAATTTTTGGGATGAATTTTGGCCATTTATGTTGTAACCTGTTTCCTTGTTTCCCGGGATTATTTTTCCAAACTTGTAGGAGCATGATCTTGGTGAAGAGAATAAGCAGATGCAGATTGAGGTCTGTGCTTCTTCTTTCTTTTTTCCCCAATCAAGGTCTCATAGTGGTGGGCTCACGGACTGTGTCTCATAGTTGTTCAGTTGATTGTGTAACTAGTACTTCAGAGTTCAGTTCAAACAAAGTTCAGGGTAATACTTGATGAGGTAAGCTGATAATTATTTATGGCTTGCTCGTACAGGTAGCCACCTATGATTTAGTAATCCATCATATGTAATGTTAGGAGCCATTCATGTATTTCTGTACTACCTCCTCCATTATCAGCCAAGAATTCTGAACAATTAGCTGTGATTTGAAGAGAAGTTAAGAACTTTTTTATGTGGTTGATTCATGCTGAGGTTGACAAACTGTGCGAGATTTGTGGTAGATTCTGCAACCCTCCCCTATCTTTAGCTTCATTAAAGATTAATTTCTTGTGCTTAATTATTTTGGTTTGTTTGAGTTAGATCATACGTAGACCTAGATGGCTTGGCCTTGCTGTTAGTATTGTGATTTAGCTGATTGTAGAGATGACAAAGTCTCATCTAACGGGGAAGCAACACCTGGGCTATGGCTAAGTGAGTACAAGGTAAAGTGATAACTTTTTCCAACAACATCATCATGATCATCTTTTTTCTTCTAGTTTTAATTTGGTAATCTAGAACTTTGGCATACACACTCTCTAGGAAGCTAGGGAAAAGAAAAATGTGACTTTGTCTCCAGAGAAGTCGTTTGGGTTCGAGATGAGAGCTTCATGTTAGATATGGAGGGAATATTGCCTTTTGCCTACTCCAATTTCAGGTAAAAATCAATCAATTCAATCACTAACGTTGCTCTTAACTGTCCATATATAATATAGAAAAGTTGAATCTTTTCCTGTGTTTGAATGTGGTAAACTATTGACAAATTCTGAACCAATAAAAGGTATTAATTTATCAGGTCGCTATCTTCAGAGGAATCGGAGAAATGTGGCGTCCTGAAATTCGTTCTTAGTGATAACATTGTGTATGTGTGTTTGAATGTGGTAAACTATTGACAAATTCTGAACCAATAAAAGGTATTAATTTATCAGGTCGCTATCTTCAGAGGAATCGGAGAAATGTGGCGTCCTGAAATTCGTTCTTAGTGATAACATTGTGTATGTGATTTTGGTTTACTAAACAATAAATTGTGTAATTGTAATTTTGGTTACTAAACAATTTTGTTATATGAAGCAACTTTTTTATTACAGTTCTATTTAATTTTTCATATTTTCATTTTAATGACCAGAATCTCAAAACCAAATTGGTCATTTGAGATTAATTTTTTTGGTTGGCTTATGTTTTTCTTTTTGCAACAAATTCTTATAGTTGCATTTAAACTTTTATAACCATAAGAATTAGTTATAGAGGATATGGTTGTTGGTCTCCACTAATATATTTTACGACCAATTATTATGTTTGAGTTAAAATTTTATAACTAATAAAATTTGTTACCTAAAAAATATGATTGGTCGGCATATGAATTTTTTACGACCAAATTTTAGGTTGTTTAAAAATTTCATAACTAAAATGATTAGTTACCAAACAGATACAATTGGTCGATATATGTATTTTTATGACCAATTTTTATGGTTGCTTTAAACTTCCATAACTAAGATTATTGGTCACCAAAATGCTTTAATTGGTTGAGGTATGTGGTTTTCAAGATCAATTTTTATGGTTATGCTAAACTTTTATAATCAAATTAATTAGTCATCTAAAATTATGTGGTTGGTTGGAAAATATATTTTTCATGACCAAATTTCATAACTGTGGTAAACTTTCATAACCAAAAAATTGGTTTTCATATGTTAATTTACCGACCAAATTAAATAGTCACCTTTGAAACTTAAACTTGCGCCCAATAAAATAAGTTACTAATAATCACATCAATTGGTTGTCATTTGTATTTATAGCGATCAATCACCTACATTTCCCAACCATTCGTTTGGACTATGGCAACCGAATTAAAATGGTCGCGAAAATAATGGGTTTTTAGTTTTTACCATTGGCGAAATTGATTGCGGTAGCTTTCTTTTTTGCTACAATCCATATTTTGGTTGCGCTAGGAATTAGTAACGCGGTTATAGCGACCGATTCTGTTACCAATTTTTTTGGTTGCGAAATTTTTGATAACCAACGTTGGACTTTTAGACAATTTTTTTTGGTTGCAAAAAGCACTTTTCCTTGTAGTGCAAATTCAACAACATAAAGTCATAAACTTCATAAAGTCACAAATCACAATAGATCCAAATAGCAACAACAAGTCAACAACAAATCATCATTCATCACTTATCAAGAGCATGAGAAGAATCAACATCTGCATAACCCTGTTCTTTCAATCGGTCAAAGAAGTCATGACCATAATCGTCATATCCATCTTTCTCATACTCGTCCTCCGACACTTCTTCTTCACCCTCTTGCTCATTCTCGACTAGAATGTTGAGACTTGCATCAGTATTGGCAACATTGCCAACATCACTTGCACTTTCCATTCTAGACTAGAAATGGCAATAACTAAGTGTGAAAAAAGAAAACAAAGTGTTAGTATATTCATACATTGAATTAGGTGGAAACAAATAGTGAAAACCTGAACAACAAGTATTTAAGAGAGTTTTAGAACTCGCCACTTTCCAAATCCAAATTCTCTTCATCATCTTCCTTCTCGTCATTCTCTTCGGATTCGGTAGTTGGATACCTTATCCAATCCTCAACAAAAATCAATGCGTCCACCATTGTATCGCTCAAAGAGGACATGAATGGACTGAGAATCCAGCCTCCACACCTGAATGTTGCCTCTGAGGAAACAGAAGAGATGAGAACTAGGATATCCTTAGCCATCTCAGCAAGAATCGGATGTATCCCAGAGTGTCGAGACCACAAACCCAAGATGTCAAACTTGGCATCATCATTCTACTCATTGATGCCATCAGTTTGACATTTCAAATAGATGTCAAGCTCAGCAGAGCTACCTCCTGTTTCCTGCAGAAGTGCTTCCCTTTTCCTCTTCCTGAGCCTCTCATCAAGCTTACTAATCCTATCACCAACACCTTAAACATAACTACCACCAACAATGCTCTCATCAGTGGTAGGCAGATACGCAGAGGAGGGTGCTTTTGATCCATACTTCCCTTTATAAACCTCAAACATCTGGCGCATCTCCGATTTAATGGAACTTTCAATTTATCCTCCCTTCACACCCCCATAAATCATTTCCAAAATCTCGGACACCAGATCAAGTTTACTTCTAGGATCAAGCACACATGCTATATAAATTAAGTTTTACCTTCATGTTCTCCTCATTCTTAATAGGTGTCTCAAACCAATACCTCTGTACCTTTTCCTCAACCTTTTCTGCCATCCTTTGGATCTCTTCATGCAGATCATTCTTCAATTCCTCAATGATGTCATAGACTGGAACAAGATTCCTGAAGAAGAGATGGGTAGTCACATATTTAGACGTTCATGTACAATGAGAAGAGAACACAGAAGATTAGAGTAAAACAAACAGAAATGGCAAATGGTTAAAATACAACAATGCAATCAAATTTCACCTACCCGAGAATAGGAGGGTCAAGTCATTAAAGACGTTCAGATACTTCTTCAATTAACCAATCAGCTGCCAATCTTGTTTAGTTGGAAAACCACCTCTTGAGTCAACATAATCTCTAAAGGAATGATCGTGTGGACTTGAATATAAAGTTGTAAACACTCCATCAAACCTTTCTACTGACTCTAACATGATATATGTGGAGTTCCACCTGGTCGTTACATCCGCAGACACCAATTTGGTTGACTCCACATTCAGAAATTCCATGGCAGTCTTGAACCTTGTCAACCGAGCAGGTGATGAGTTCACCCACTTCACACAGTTAGGGGGTGGTAATCAGTTTTCCGGTTAACGGTAAAATGAATTGAATTAGTTGGATATTTTAGTGGATGGATTGGATTGGATTGAATTCATGGATATGAATCCTAATTGCCACTTCTATTAGGCACTTTTGTTAGTCACGTCAGCAAAAATACTGATGTCGTTAATGAAGACTACAAAAAGGTAACAACCAATGATAAAATCTGAACTGTTGGATTAATTTTGGTAACCACGAATGGAATAAAAATATTTGTAGTTTCAAGCGTAAGATATTTTAGTACTCCCGGTGACCAAAATTGCAATTCACCCTTTATTATTGTTATTATTAATTTTTAACATTCACAAATTATAATAATAATTATTATTTAAAGAAATTGATGACATTTTTGACAAATTCCGTACACTTTCTAAATAGAGATAAAAAATATATATGAAACCGTGGATATCCGTCTGAATCCAACCTAATCTGGTAGGGTAAAACCCAAATCCGAAAGGTTATCACTAGGTATGGGTAAAACCTGAAAAATTGCGAGAAATGGTGGACGTGGTTTCTCACTATCCAACCCGGACCCGGTTATACACATGCATATGTATTTTTTCTAGAAATGATCATTATTTTCTCAATATTTTTTATTGTTAGCATACAATGTAATATTTTCATGAAATTGTAATGCTTGAAATCAATTTCTTCATTCTAGTGAGTTATTGTCGTACTTTTACACTTATATAATGTGAGTATACATGTGAATGTTATCATTTTGATTTGAGTTATAAAGAGAAATTATTATCCATGGATAACCGTGGATACCCGAAACCCGAATGGGTATAAACATGGTTTTGATTTCTAACCCAATTCTTATGTGAGTATGGGTATGGGTAAAATCCAAACTATTTTAAGTAAGGTAATATATATACACTACTTGTCCTGACCCGTTGTCATCCCTATTTCTAACATATTATTACATTAAATACTCAAATAAAAAAAAGATAAAATACTTAAATTCTCCACCAACCAAACAACCACCTGCCAATAGGGCTGGAAGTTTGGTACCGATATCTGGCATATACCGAATACCGTACTGAATTTATTATTATTTGGTATTATCGAATATCGACTTATTTTTTAGGAATTGGGATTGGATTCATTACGAGGTGTTATTCGGTATTTGGGATTACGGGATTGAGAGTATAACCGAAATACCGAG